CACGTTGAATGCACATTAGAAAACTTTATTGAGCTACTTAATTGCTCCTCTGAGGGAAGACAGGTGGAAAATGCCTTCTTATCCTTCCCACTTCTCTCTTCCAATTGGCTTGACATTTTGAAGCGAGACTTTCCTACTCCCCTATCCAAGTCAAAGGACAAATGGAGAAATCCCATAGGACTGCTGTTCACTCACAAGAAGTGATCTAGCATTCAAGGACAGTCATTTTCCTATGAGCATTAAGTAGTCAGTTTTCACTGAAATGTTTCTCCACCAAGATCTCATAGTATAGCAACCAATCCCAACAAGCACAAATAATAACTCTCAAATCAGCAAAACCAATGGGTAGAACTTACTTGAACTCTCATAGAGTTACTTTATTTTATATGTTAACATTCAACAGAACTGTCATTTTTTAGACAATCCTATGTATTTTAACAAAATATAGATTATCTCCACCAAGGATGCAGAATATTTTAAATATCCCCTAAAATTCCCTCATGCGGTGTCCCTTCCCCAGCCCTTGGCAACCACTCATCTGCTCTCCTTCATGACAGCTTTGTCTTGCAGGAGAACGTCATATACACATAACCTTTGAGACTGGCTTCCTTCACTTAATATAATGCCTTTGAGACCCATTCAGGTTGCTCTGTGTATCAGTCATCCATTCCTTTTTATTCTTGAGGACCGCTCCATTCATTGTATGGGTGTCTCACAGTTAATCCATTCACCAAGTGAAGTGCATTTGGGTTTTTTCCAATTTTTAACAAACCTTAATAGAGTCACTATAAACATTGGTGTACAGAGTTTTGTGCGACTATATTTTCATTTTTCTAGAGCAAGTACCTAGGGGTTGTTAGGTCTATGACAACTGTATGTTTAGCTTCAACTGCGTGCTTAGAGTCAACAAATGTTATAAGTTAAACATATGTTCAACTTCATAATGCTAAACTATTTTCCAGAGTGGCCATCCCATTTGTGTGCCCATCAGCAATGTAGGAGAGTTTTATTTGCTGCGTATTCTCACTACATTTGGTTTTGCCAGTATTTTTAATTTTAACCTTCTTGATAGGTGTATGGTGATATCCCATTGTGGTTTTAATTTCCATTTCCATAATGACTAATGATATTGAGCATCTTTAGTGCCTGCTTGTCATGTGTATAACCTCTTTGGTGCAGTATTATTCAAGTCTTTTTCTCTTAAGTATTTTTTAATTAGATTGTTTATTGTTGACTTTTTAAGTTCTTTATATGCATCAATCAACAGAGAGAGAGACAGAAAAAGTGGACACAAACACACACACATACCCACCAGTTCTCCTAACAAACAACATTAATCCTACGTTGGAACATAAAGAATTGTAGGAGAGAAGGAGTGTAAGGAAAATATATTTGCAAGTTGTTCTTGCTTATAGTTCGATTTCTTTAAAGAGATATGCCTGAGATATTTTTAAAAAGACTTGTACACAATGTATTCTTCATAACTGCTTGGTAGTTTTAGATGTACTTGGGTACATAAGTTCTCTTGGTTAACAGATATGTAAATCTGTTATACTCTCTCATAAGTGCTATAGATACACTTGAAAAATATTTCTATGTGTGAAACAGTTATCTGTTACTTATGAAGTTGAGAGAGCCTGAATTTAGGGGCAAGACAGAATTATTTATCCAGCAAACAGAACATACAAGAAGGCAGATTTCAATTTCAAAGATTGCTTAGTGTTATCTGAGTATTCTATGTTTTCATATTTCCATGTTTTGTTGAAGTTGTTTTCTTAGCCTGGACTGCCATTCTTGCTTTTTCACCTGGTGAATATTTTTATACTTCAGGACCAACTCCTGCTTGGCCCTATTTTTCCAAATACAACTAATATCCCTTTCTCTATGTTCACTTATCACTTCGTATATTTCTCAATTATATAAGTTATCACATTGTTTTAGAAATTTGTGGACATGTGTCTTCTCCACTAGACAGCTTCTTAAGGATAGCTGTGTGATTAAATAATCTTTATCTCTTCAAAAACTGTCTAATACAAGCTTTACAAGAAATAACCATTTATTCATTAATTCACCAAATATTTATTTAGTTCCTGCTGTGTTGTTAGGTACTTAGGGGTAGAGGAGTGAACCAGCAGAATAGATCCTGGCTTTTTGGAGCTTACATTTTATGGACAGTTTTATTTATTTATTTGGAGTCTCACTCTGTTGTCCAGGCTGGAGTGCAGTAGCATGTTCATGACCACCGCAGCCTCTACCTGCTAGGCTTAGGCAATCCTTCCATCTCAGCCTTCCAAGTAACTGGAACTACAGATGCACGCCACCACGCCCAGCTAGTTTTTGTGATTTATTGTAGAGATGAGGTCTCACCAAGTTCCCCAGACTGGTCTTGAACCCCCAGGCTCAGACAATCCTCTTGTCTTGGCCTCCCAAAGTACTGGGATTACAGGTTGAGCCACTGTGCCTGGACTTTATGGACCTTTTTAGAGAACCGGACTCTTTTTTACTTCTCTTTTTTATAGCTCTTTTCCTCTTTTTCCTTCTTTTGTATTATATAAATATAGAATTTCACTTTAAAGTTTCTGTTTGCTTTTTAGCTACACTTCTTTGCATTATTCTTTAGTTATTTACAAGAGATTACAGTATACATTTATAACTTTTCCACTTATGGTTAACAATAACCACTTACATGAGGTCTGTTGTACAATGTGGCAATATAGTTAATAACAATTTATTGTGTTTTTGAAAATTGCTGTGAGTAGCTTTTCTCTTCTCACTACAAAAAAAAGTGAGGTAAGGCATATATTAATTAGTTCAATTTAGCTATTCCACAATGTATGCATATAATTTAAAGCAACATGTTGTATATGATAAATATATATAATTTTGTCAATTAAAAATAACTAACCACTTATAGTTCATAATATATACTTAATATAAAATATTGAAATCTTGCAACTTACAGATCCACATTTCCTCTGTCTTTTATATTATGGTAGTCATATGTATTATATAAATATACATTGTAAACCCTATAAGAAAGCATTCTAATTTCTGTCCTAAAAAGTTTAAAGGTTTATAAGAATATTAAGAGGAAAAGGCAAAAAGGAAAATAAATTAGTCTTTGAACTTATTCAGATATTTATCATTTCCAGTGATCTTCATTTTTTTTCTGAGGGTCTGCGTTTGCATCTTACACAATTTCTCTTTAGCCTAAAGAAATTCCTTTACTATTTCTTGTAGTGCAGATCTTCTGGTGATGAATTCTTTCAGTTTTTGTTATTTTTAAAATGTCTTTGCTTTCATTCTTGGAAGATATTTTGCTGGATATAGAATTTTGGACTAAATTTTTTCTTATCCATTACTTTAAAGATGTTCTGGTCCCTATGGTTTATGATGAGAAGTCAGCTGTTAATCAGATTGTTGTTTCCTTGTATTTAATATGTCTTTTTTCCTCTGTCTTTCTGCTTTCAATTTTTGCTCTTTATCTTTGGTTTTTAGCAGTTTGACTATGATGTATCTTGAGGTAGCTTTTGTGTATTTATTTTGCTTGGTCTTTGATTTGCAATTTATAATTGTATATATCTGTCCTTCAAATTTGGGTAATTGGGTCGTCATTTTTCAGATTTTTCCCCCTGTTCTCTTTTTCTGTCTCTTCTCTTTCTTGTATTCCACTAAGTATAAGTTGGACCTTTTGATATTATCTAACAAATTCCCAAGGTTCTGTTTTTTGTTTTGTTTTGTTTTTTCCAATTCATTTTTCTTTGTTTTTCATCCTGGATGCATTCTATTGATCTATATTGAGGTTCACCTAGTTGTGTTCATTCAGCTGTTAGGTTTATCCATCAAATTTTTATTATAAAAATAATCCACAAGATGATTATCGCTTCTAGTACATGTTGTGAGATAAACAAGGCGAATGAGATAGAAAACAACAACTTCAGATAAGGTTTTTATAAAGGTTATCTAAAAACTCCCATTTGAGGTGAGACCTAAAGAATAAGAAAAATTAGACCTGGCTCGGTAGCTCAGCCTGTAATCTCAGCACTTTAGGAGGCCAAGGCAAGTGGGTTGCCTGAGCCCGTGGGTTCAAGACCCACCCGGGCAACTTGGCGAGACCTCGTCTCTACAATAAATCAAAAAAATTAGCTGGGCATGGTAGCACATGCCTGTAGTTCTGGCTGCTTGGAAGACTGAGGTGGAAGGATCACCGGAGCCCAGCAGTTTGAGGCTGCGGTGTCCGGGAGCGTGCCACTGCACTCCAGTCTGAGCGACAGAGTGAGCCTCCAACTCAAAAAAAGGAAAAAAAAAGAATATGAAAAATTGGCCATGTAAAAAGTTGACTGAGAAATATTTTAAGCAAAGGCAACAGCAAATACAAGAGCCCTAAGGTGGGGAGAGAAGCCTCTATGTCTGGAGCACAAGAAGTGGAGGAATTGGGAGGCCAGGAAGGTCATGGAGAGCCTTGAAGACACTGATGAGGAGTTGGGAATTATGATTCTGCATAAGAAAATATGGTTATCATAGCTCTAGGGTGAGCTTACCAAACATATTTAACCACTCATATTGCTTGTCCTTAAGAGTCTTGGCTGATGATAATGTGGCCTTGGAGTTATGTGACCTACCTGTTAGCACTGGTGGAACAAGAGCTAGGAAACCATGCAAGATGGACTTCTGCAATGTGTGGGAAGTTGAAGTGGACATATTCTAACATCCCTTCTGCTTCTGAGGTCCCCTGATGTCATAGAAAACAAGTTGGCCTGTGTGTAGAAAAATGTAATGGCAGTCTAGAAATGAAAAACACAAACACAGAGAATGAAAAGACTATACTAGAATGAGGAGTTGTGGTTGTGCATAGCAAAAGATGTCACCTGATTTCTGCATCAGAGTGGTTGCCTTCAGTTTGTAAATGTTGCTGTGTTAACTCAGCATGCTAGTATGTGTTTGCAGATATGACTTCTCTGGGGAACATGTAAAACTCACTCTATCCTTCCTTTGACTAGATGACAGCGCTTCTGCAGCAAGTAGCATGGAGGTGACGGACCGTATTGCCTCACTGGAGCAGCGAGTTCAGATGCAAGAGGATGACATCCAACTGCTCAAATCGGCTCTGGCGGACGTGGTGCGACGGCTGAATATTACTGAGGAACAGCAGGCTGTGCTTAACAGGAAAGGACCTACCAAAGGTGGGCGTGTGTGGTAGATGGGATCAGTAGAATTGGTCTCATGAAAGATTCTTGCTCTAGCAAATGCATCCCACTCTAATATTGACAGAGAATCAAAACTCAGAATAACAATGAAACAAGACTGGGTGTGATGCCTCACGCCTGTAATCCCAGCTACTCAGGAGGTGGAGGAAGAAGGATCGCTTAAACCCAGGAGGTCAAGGTTTCAATGAGCTGTGATCATGCTGCTGCCCTCCAGCCTAGGCCGCAGGGTGAGATGCTGTCTCAGAAAAGAAAATCAGGCAACCCCCTTGGGTCCCCTCCTGCTCTGAGAGCTTTCCTGTCCTCTCAATAGATCTTGCTTTCCCACCCAAAAAAAAGAAAGAAAAAGAAAACAATCTTAGCAAGGTCAGGCTCGGTGGCTCAGCCTGTAATCCCAGCACTTTGGGAGGCTGAGGTGAATGGATTGCCTGAGCCCGCAGGTTCGAGACCCGCCTGGGCAACTTGGCGAGACCTCATCTCCACAATAAATCAAAAAATCAGCCGGGTGTGGTAGCACACAACTGTAGTTCCAGCTCCTTGGAAGGCTGAGGCGGAAGGATCACCAGAACCCAGGTGGTCAAGGCTGCAGTGGCTGGGAGCGTGCCACTGCACTCCAGTCTGGGCAACAGAGTGAAACTCCAACTCAAAAAAAAAAGAGCACTGTCAAAATAATCTCACAAAGTGTGACAGTATTTGGGGGTTTGATGTTGGTACCTTGCATAGCTTAGTAGGTGATCACTAAATGCTTGTTGAGTCAAAGGAAGGAACAATTCAAGAGGGCTGTTGAGAACAAGTGTTTATCAAGATTCTCAGGGACAGAGAGAACCTGGAGGAGGAATCGCGATCCTTTTGGCTCTTTTTGGAGTCTGTTCCCCCTCCCTGTTTGTGTCCTCAGCTTATACTGTCATTCCATTCTGCACAGCCTCACTTCACATGGAAGGCTCTGAGCCAAGACCTGTAGCTCAGAGGAGGCATGCCTTTGAGCTGCTCGGAATCCTGAGTTCCCACTACCTTTTCCCCCATGTCTACCTGGCAAGTAAACTCCTCCTAGGCAGATTCTCTGCTTCTCAAGTCTCCTCTGCTCCCATGGGAACATAACCTGCTGTGGAGATCTGTTCCTGCTGGGTTTCTGGCAAACTTAAGGCATCATTTCATGTCCCGTGGCTCTTGGGAATGAGATATTAAAAAGCAGCATTTGTGTTAAGCAACTTTGTAGTCATCCTTTTCTTAAAACTTTGGGAATGAAACACCTCACAAAAGTTCCTGTCCCACCAGTTGGTGCCCTGGTGTCTACTGTGAGCTGGTGGACTCTTCCTCGTGGCAGTCTTCTAGAAAAGAGAATTTATCGTGGCTGCAAAAGTCCTTTGATGACAACATTTTGAGATCACAGCATATAAATGTCCCTTTAAAAATGCCTTTCATTTTTGTTTGAATTTAACAAATTATTTCACAGTGAGTGTATTTTTTTTCTGAAGTCAGGAGAGAGGACTGTCTAATGCGTGTCTTGGAGTTTTTTCTCTAGTACTTATTATGTTTTTACATGTCTGTGAGAAGAAATCTATTTCTTTGTCCTTCTGGGTAGTTATCACCTGCTCTATGGGAGATAAATATGCTGGGCTGATGTCTACATTCTGTATAATCCTTTTAAGTAATCTTTTTCTCCTTCTAAGTTACAAAGTGATTAGGTTATTTTAAATAGAAACCAGGTTATTTAAAATAGAAACCAGGGTATTCTTGATCTACTCAACTTTCCAAAAATAAATCTGATGACTGCTGTATCCTAAAGGGTGCCTTTGAAGCAGTTGCTTTATATAAAACTTTAGACTTCTAAAGTTTATTTGTTTTTCAAAAATTAAGGAAAAAATAATATACAGGACTTTCCCAGGAGTTTTATTTTCTTGATGAAGAATGAAGTTTGATTTTATAAAACTTCTAAGAGAAATAAATTATTTCATAGTGTTATCTGATTTTTAAAAATAATATTCCTTTCATAAGTGAAAATGAGCAAAGCATGAAAGACAGGAGGTGAGTACCTGGTCTCAAACCAGGCAAAGTGGGGACCAAAGGGAATTCCAAACTTTACGTATACGATGTCCACTTGTATGCTAATCCTGAATTACACCCCACATCTTTAAAATAAAACATAAAAAGAAAAGAAAGGCAGAGGTCACACCAAGAAATAGGAAAAAAATCCACAGGAAGGCAGGTAGGGGGCACCCCCAACTGGAAAGGGCCATGGCTCCCTGACGTCCTGTGCAGCTCGCTGGAGGAGGCAGAGGCCAAGGGGAGAAGGGAGTGGTCTGCACCCACAACCCTGGCCTGTGCTGCTCTTTCAGAGAGCTGCCGTGCTGAGATCTACTCCCTTACCTCTGTCTGGGTGGCTGGCCCTCAGTGGTCGTGGGTGGGGTGGGGATCCTTTAGTCCAGATGGACTTTAGGCAAACCCCCTTAGGCTTTTAAGTGACCACGTCATTATCAGTAGTATCACTTCACAACATCTTGGCTTCCTGTTCTAATACAGACTTGAGGTAGCTTGGACACATGACACTCTTTATCTATCTGTCTGTCTGGCTGCCTACCTGTCTATCTGTCATCTATCTATTTATTTGAGTTCGGGTCTCATGCTGATGCCCAGGCTAGAGTACAGTGGCAAGGTCACAGCTCACTGCAGCCTCGACCTCCTGGTCTCAAGCAATCCTTCTGGCTCAGCCTCACGAGTAGCTAGGACTACAGCCTTGCACCACCACACCTGGCTAAGTTTTGTGTGTGTGTGTATAGAGACAAGTTCTTGCTATATGGTGGACCAGGTTGGTCTCAAACTCCTGGGCTCGAGTGGTCCTCCCACCTCAACCTCCCAAAGTTTTGGGATTGCAGGCGTGAGCCACCATGCCCACCCCCACATTCTTGTTTTTAAATATGAAGTAATCTTCCCTCCTAGAGTTAGATTTCAGAAGCTTAGGGCTCAGCATATTGAGCTTCAGGTGTACTACTGTATGCTGTGTGCCCGTTGGCAGGGATAATTGTGCCACCATGGGGCATTCCGAGTGCTCTGTGTGGTCCCACTTCAAGCCAGGGTATGAGGGGCATGTGTCCTTGCTCCGGCTGTCCCTGGTTGTCAGGCTGCAGTTAACACGCCCTGGGCTTAGTATTGCCTGTGAGCCATAGCTGGTCATCCTGACTCCTTCCTACAGCAGTCCTTCGCTTATCTGAAGACCGTTATCCTGACTTCTAAGCTTTGACCATTGTTTATACGCCTTAATGGAGGTAACAATGAGAACTGCAGTTTCACTAAATAATTCACTAACAGACTGAGTTCAAGGCCTCCTGTGACTGGGGCGAGACTGTGGCCTGCCCCACAATGTGTGGGACCTGTGGACACACGATTTAGAGAGGGTGCTATATCTCACCTCTACTGTTCCTCGCCATGTTTTCCTGACCCTGAGATTGGTCTGTCCAACTGTCTGACTGTCCTCTGTCAGCAGGCTCTCCCTGGGCCTAGGATCTGCTCAGCTACTATGTAAGCCCCCCAGGCTGTGCTTTCCCCTTTGCATGTTTTAAAATATAAAGAACTGGTTGCTGTTCACACAAGAACCTCAGCCTACAAAGTCCGCCTTGTTCATATGGGATTTACTTTCAGATAGAATGATTTGGAATGTTTCCATTTTGCTGAGCTTGGATCACCATATAGTGGAGAAAAGAGAATCAAATAATTTATGGAGGCATGTGTCCTTTTTTTTTTTTTTTTCTTTGAGTCAGGGTTTCACTCTGTCACCCAGACTAGAGTATAGTGGCAGCATCATAACTCACCTTAGCCTTGACCTCCAGGGCTCAGGTGATCTTTCCACCTCATCCTCCCAAGTAGCTGGAACTACAGTTGTGTACCACCACACCCAGTTAATTTTTTTTTTTTTTTTTTTTTGGTAGAGACAGGGCCTCGCTTTGTTGTGCAGGCTAGTCTCAAACTCCTGCGCTCAAGTGATCCTCCCACCTTGGCCTCCCAAAGTGTTGGGATTACAGGGATGCGTCACTGCACCCGGCCCGTGTTCTTAAACCTCTTTGGTAATAGTATTAAAGTTCCTCAGAGTTGTGGGTGGAGTGGGGTGACACTCAGTGCTAGCTGAATGCAGTGAGCAGAACCTTCTTTCATTGCTGTTTTGAGTGTAAATGCAGAAAAACACTTGATAAGTAAAGGAGTTCATTGCAGCACTGAGCGAAGTGGAGAAAGGTTAGACAGGAAACATCAGAGAACCGCAAGCAGGATGGACGTGGCTAGCAATTACAGGGCCTCATGGGATTCAGTGCCATGTAGGCTTCAAAAATGTTTGTGTTATGGGTACAAGAGGGAAATGCTTATATTAAGTGTTAAGAACAGGCTGGAAAACTGCATTATTTCAAAGAAACAGACAAAATTTGTGCAAAGAAGACTGGAATGAAGTATTGTATACCAAAAGTTACCTGTGGGTTTTTTTCCTAGTAGGATTATGAATTTTTTCTCTTTATTATACTGTTAGTTTCTGAATGCTCTATGGGTATATTCTTTACCAAGCAGAAGAGACTTGTGTTTTAAAAATCACTTCTTTCTTGCCATTGAATCTAAGGCCAGCAGCAGGGCTCATGGCAAATGTCAGGAGGCGGGGTTTGCTCGCTGTGTTTTCAAGAAGACAAGGAGTCATGGTTTGGAGTTCAGTTCATAATGGATTCCTTGTATGCTCACATGCTGATTTACATTTTAGTGCTAGGATTTTTTTTTAATGTAAAATATAGATTAAAATATAGTCACTGTTCCATGTATCTGGGATTGTCTATTTTGTTATGCATTAACCAGTGAGTAGTTCATATTTCCCACTTTAAATCTTGCTTATCTTTTTCAGACTGTAGTTAGACGGGGTGCCTTTTAAAATACTTTAATATGCATTTTGTAGAAACTTCTTTAAATCAGTTGTATCAACTAATTAACTGATCAGAGGGTTATTTAATATA